TATTCAGAATGGTAAAGAGGAAAACTTAACTGTTCAAAATATTGTACAAATTCAAACAACACAACACTTCTGCAGACAAGCTGTGTAATAACTGAGGGGGGGGATGTGGCTGAGTGGCTAGAGCAGTCGCCCTCCAGTGGGAGAGCTGGGGGTTTGATTCCACCACTATGCAGTCACATGCTGGAATGTCCCTCAGCAAGTCACTGAACCACTGATGTGTCCCATTGGTGTAGGAAATGTGATCAAAAGCAGTCTATAAAATTATTTGTTCAGATTAGCTTTGTAGCGATGTAGTAGAGTGCTGTATGAATGTGTGTAAAGCACTTGGAGTATCTTGATTAGATAGAAAAGCGCTATATAAGTACAATCCATTAAAAAAAATTAAAAAAACACTTCTTAAAAAAGCTTTCAAAATGGCTTGTACAATTGATAAATCGATGTGCAAGACTGTTTTTAAAGCTGTATTTGCATTTTATTGCAACAAAATGCAAAAGTTTAACACTTCATTAGTTGTAGCTTTTTTTTTTTAAATGTTTTAAGTAACGACTTTGAATCGAAATCAGTTTTATACAAAACTATTAAATCAGCTGTGTAAATTGTCCATCAATTACCAATCAATTATACATTATAAAACTAAAATTCCTATCACTATATATTTTTAAATGTTTTAATTGCTACGGTGGTATTGTTTCTTTTAAAGCTTTGACTTGGACAGCTTGGATGAATTAACTGAGGAGTAGTGAGAAATGAGTCTGTCGGCTTCCCTCCAGCCCGTGAGCAGAGCTCCGTGGACGGTTGAGAAGTAGCAGGGGTGAGTCGCCTCCCCAGCAAACAACACCTGCAGAGGCTGAGAAAGGCCAGAGATTTTAAAGATTTAATAATCTCATCACAGTAAGTACAAACTGCTTTTTTTTTCCACAGTCACATATTAGGACAAAATAAAACATCCTTTGGTCTTTACAAGGTCCTAAAATGAAATAAATACAACTTCAGATGATAAATAACTATTTACTTAAGACAAACTAACCCAAAATGAAGAAACTGCATTGAAAAAAATAAATAAAAAAAATCAGGATCATTGCCACAACGCAATTCTTTTGTTTTTCTTCTTTACACAACCTTAATACATGTTTAAATTCAGAAGCCTTTTATTTGTATCCTGAATTACAAAACCACAGATTTCAAAAAGTGCTTAGGTTTTATCATGACAGTATGTCAGAGCATGTGTACATTCAGAGTATGAGCATGTACATACTTGTGCATTTGATCTCCTGGGGGGCAGGGGGTCCATCATATTGTCCAGGTCCTGCTCTGAGCAGTCTGTCGCGAGGTGGCTGTAGGATCCACATGTCCAGGGGTCATGAAACCACTGAGAGCGAAAGATTCTCCGTGGGGTGACAGTGGGGTTCCCTGAACACATGGTAGTTCACAGAAGTCATTCCAAATAGATCAGAAACAGTTTTGATGTGACGGGAGAGCCCAGTAATACAATAATATGCAGGCAAGGCACATCAGGACAAAGTCACATTTTGATCAGTCAAAATATATTTGTAAGTGCAAACAAGAAAACTATAATTTGAAAACCTTTCAACGGTTTTAAATAGCTAAAGAAAAACAAGAGATACAAAAAAGGGTAAAATAATCTGTAGCTTGACTGCTTGAACCTCCAAATATAACACATGTTTGACGTCCTTCTGTTCTTGCCACTTGATGGGGCAGAGGTAGGACAGCTGACTGGGGCCCAGAACGTCTTGGTTTGACTTCCAGCCATTCCCACATGCTGTGGTGTCTCTGAGCAAGACACCCAATCCCTAAATGCTCACTGGGCACTTTCATAGCTGCCCACTGGTCCACCTGGGTGTATCTCAGGTGTGATGGGTTAAATGCAGAGAACTAATTTTGCCATTGTATTCAATTCAAAATACTTTATTAATCCCAAAGGGAAATTAAATGTTGTTGTAATCATCCTGGTTTCACTGAGTTGTTATAGATGCTAATGGCTGTGGGCAGGAAGGATCTCCTGCAGCAGTCCGTCCCACAGCGGATCTGAAGAAACTGGCTGCAGATGCCGATCAGTCCACCTGGATCCAGCGTGCCTTTCGGTCCTCCTGGGCAGCAGGTCCACCTGAATGTTGGGCAGAACTCCTCTCCGAGCGATGACCACTCCTCCCAGCAGGTTGCTGAGCTCCTCATCATTGCAGACAGCCACCTGCAGGTGTCAGTGGATGATCCTGGTCTTCTTGTTTCCATTGGCCACGTTTCATGCCAGCTCCAGGATCTCAGCAGTCAGTCACTCGAGTACTTCTGCCAGATAGACGGAGATGCGTCCACGGCGCCTCCTTTACAACTCATTTGGGATTTGGGGCTGTATTTGAGGTAATATTAAAGCTTTGAGATGTTAATCAGCTGCTCCCAGTTGTAAAAATCACCTTGTTGTCATGGTTACGCTTCATAACAAATGGCCAAAAGTAAAAAGGTTTTCATTAAAAATCCTTCTAGCTGCACAGCATTTGATACCAGAGGAAGTAATCATCCAAAAAAAGCCATTTACATCCAGAAAAAAAATGAGGAAACAAAGTTTTCAAAAGCAACATCCCAGAATGAAAGTACCAGCTACTCCAACATGCAGCCACCTTGAGCGGCACAATTCTACAACTGTATGGGAACATACAATGATGACAATCTCAGACTTCCCTTTCCTCCCCTTATTATTAGGACTCACCTGTAAACCTGCGAATCAGTTGTGTGATTTCACGTGTGATCTCTTGTTCAGACAGTGTTTCCATATATTCTGACTCATGTCCTGCTATCCATCCACACAGAACATGGCCATACCTGAAATGTAAACCAAAAAAACCACAACTTCACTATCATTTACCATTAAAACTGTAAAATTATGCCTGGTTTATTACTGCGACACTTGACCTTTCAGTGGGTTTGAGCACGGTGAAACCAAACAACTTCCTTATCCAGGATCTCCGCAGATCTGGGCTCTGATCCACCATAGCATCCTGAATCATGACAGGAGATAAAAGAGGCACATTCAACACGTTTTTTTTTTTTTTTTAATAATAAAATACTGTGGGTAACAATTGTGCTGCCTCAATATGTACACAGAAACTGCTCGTCTCACCTCATCTTCCCACACCAGATGAATAAGCTCACAGTCAGGATCCCACCACGGTGCATCAAACTCCACAAATATTTTATTGTTCGTTCCAAATCCAATTCTCTGGATGGAGTGCAGCTTGTGTAGAGGAAGAGGAGGATGGAAGAGGGTTGAATGGTGTTTCTTTAGGTAACCTGAGAAAACAATTTAGGGACCATACGTCAGAGGGTCTGACTTCATGTTACACAAACACAATTATAGAAATTTGTTTGAGGCTGCAATAAATGACTGATCCACCAAGGGGATTTATGATTAAATTAAAATTACCTAAAGGTACAGTTACAATGACATGATCTGCGACGACACTTTCTCCATTTTCACACTCAACTGTCACAGAGTTTTCTGTCTTCTCTGCGTCGTTCCAGTGGACACATTGCACAGGATGATTGTACGTCACTAAACCATCAGGGAGCTCTGACATCAAGTTTTTAGTTAGACCTTCATAGCCGCTGCACAGAAAAATAAAAATAAATCATAACTTTCAAGTAAAATATATAATCTGTGCGTGATTCTGCATGCATCATGTAAAACTATAAACCTCTGCAGTTAATAATCTACAAGACAAGTCAGCGCAGCAATAAAAGTAGTTACAGTACAAACCCTGGGAATGTACAGTCCAGTCCAGGAAGACTCTTGTATAGGCCATAGGCCCCTAGACCCACCTCATCCATGCTGTGGGCCCCATTAATACAGCACTCTGCCTTCAACATGTTACTAATCACACATAATAGCAGAGATCTGGTGGCTGGGTTGATATCTTTCCATTTCTCTGCTACTCGTTTTTTCGCCTGCAGACAGAAAGCAACAAATCAAGACCTCAAATCATCAGAGCTGTAAGAAAATCTGAAATGTTTGTCGGTGATGGTGGCTCAGACATACAAAGCTACTGCCAGTATAATTTTCTAGTCACGCAAAGAAACAGACCTCTTTGCGGATGAAATCTCCCACACTGGCACAGGGCTCTCCTTTTTGGCCCTGGAACTCGGAACATTCAGTCAACAGCTCGGCAAACATTTCCTGAGCTGAAAAAACATCTTCGGCATTCAGCTTCTGACCTGAACACATAAGAGAAAACAGAGAAACTTAAAGATAACAGCATAGTCACCAACGTGTTTTACATCGCATGCATGCGATACGCAAACAAAATAAAATCAAAGACTCTGACTTGACGCTCATGTGATTTATAAAAATAACTCAAAAGACTACTGGTTCTGAAACCTTTTACACCACGTGCCACCTGTAAAATGCTTAGTGCTCCAACAAACACTAATAAAACTTACATTGATACTTTTGTACTATAATTGAGTTTTGCACATAAAGCAAGAAAGAAGAATAACTTTAGATTAACGAGACATAAAACATTTTCAAGCAGCAACAAATGACACAGTCAAACATCCATTCATTCCTTTTCTTGACCATCTTTTCTTTTCCAAGGTACTGGTGCATATCTCCAGCGGCCATTGTAGAGACAACCGAGACGAACAACCTAAAGACAATTTAGTATCGCCAATTAATCTAGCATGCATGCTTTTGATTGGTGGGAGGAAACCAGAGTACTTGCAGAAAATGCACAAGGAGAACAAATAAACTGCATAAAAAGGTGCAAAGGCCAGAGAGGAAACATCTCACTACGAGACCACTGCATTCAATCAATATTTCTTTTGACTGTCACTAGAAGAAGCTAGTAGTGTGTACTGCATTTTGAGCAGCACGAGTTTAATCCACTAAAGAACAGTCTCTCTCCAGTGATTGAAAGTTTGAGTCATCTCTGCGCTGCACTTTCATACTGTTCTCACAGAGTCCACAATTAAACCATCAGATTTTGATTCTTGGCAACCTGAGCTGCTGAAGAAGTTGGGAAGGCCTTGGGGATGTCCTCCGACATCTACGCCTTGGTTTTCTAGGGTCAGAGCCTTTGGATCCAGAAGGCCATACTGACGGGCCAAACAAAACGCAGGGTTCTCCTCGCATGGTCCATGGATCCAATTTGCCCCAATCTCAATAATAATATCACCTAAAAATAAAAATAAAAAAGATTGTGCATCAGAACACACACACACACACACACACACACACCCCAAAACAGAATATTTACAAAATCATATTGTTTCTTGTCACACCAATTATATTGCCATTAATGTTGAGACAGTTACTAAAGTGTAACAGTAATTATGAGTTGTTTGTCACACGCGAGCTAAAAACAAAACCAAAATCTTTCTGGTTTTGCATTTATGAACATAATTCATTGTTGTTTTCACGAGAATTAAAAACAAGCACTTTATTTCCTAAAGAAAAGCAAACATCCGTGAATCACATTCACTCACCTTTGACCCGATCTTTTAATTATAACTGATGTAAAGTTGTTATTTAGGCTTTTAATTTTAAACAGTTATTTACAGATGTTTGTACTAAGAAACTTGTGGTTTTCAAGGTTGTGGCTCTGATTAGAACTCATTCACCTTCTAGGAAAATATAAAACCCCCATAGATAAAACTTTATTGAATCAGAGTAAAGTTTGCATTTACAACCTTTTAATTATTTTCATGCGCTACAGCGTCAAGGTCAAAGTTATATAATGTTAGATTGGGAGGAGAGAACAAAACTGACAAGTCCAAGCAATAAAGAGACTTGTCATTTTATATATTCCTGTGAGTTCAAGTCACTTGTGTTTTTACATGTGAAGAAAAGTAAAAACAATTTCAGAGCTGAACTCATTTCTTGATGCACAGCCTGAACAAAACTGACTAATATAATTAGTGACTAATGATCAACTACCCATGATGCTGATCTCATGTTTCTGATTTGTTTCATGGTGCTGTGTTCATTCGTCCTCATCTGCTCACACAGACTCATGTTCGTGCTGCCGTTGTTTGGCGCATTGTTTTGTACTATTAGTGCTTAGTTGAGCGTATTTCTTAGTTCATATCTTGGATCTTTTTACTGTTTTTCTTTACAATTTGTATTTTTATTGGATGTAACTGGGACCCTGTGTACATAGTTTTGTTCCACCACATGTACCACATGTGGTGTGAATGATAATAAAGACACCTTGACCTTGACTAAACTGCCACTGTGGCATTTTTAAGCAAAAAGCTTGTATTTTCATCTGTGTACAGTGATGGCAACAAACAAACAAACAAACAAGTAAATATTTCCTTTAGTCTAAGAGACAAACTAATACAGCAGTTAATTTATGGTTTATTCCCTTATAAAGGTCCTTTAAGATAAAAATGTTACTTTTCAAACAGTTTTTGCCATGACTGTAATTTAAAATCGCATTGAACTGTCCTGCTGTTAATGAGTGAAGCTATTTTTTTAAAAAACCACTGCTGTTTTTATGAAGCTATTAAATTTTAAGTTAATTTAGTGCTTCAATATATATCAGTAAAATGGGTTGACAATTGTTGCTTTTGCTTTCTACTCTGCACTTTTGTGGGCCCATGTGATTTTTAAACCTAAACCTGACTGATTAAACCAGACCTGGGCGTTGTACGGCCCCAGGGCCACATGCGGCCCTTTGGTTGACTCTGACCGGCCCCCGTAAGGGGAATTACAAAATACATATGTAAACAAATGAAGTTAACCAAATCCAGATATAGATCCTCTCTCACTGATGATGTCAGCTTTGCTTCACATCTCCACCTCAGACCTTCAACCTGACTTTAACATTTCCGTTAAAGCCCAACAGAGACTAGACTTCTCTCACTAAACAAGAAAAAAGAACTGAAAAACACCAAATGAGATGTTTAGACTACAAATGTAGGCACGTAAAGAACCAGGACTCGAAATCACAGTTCAGTGACGATCACTATTATATGATGTTTCATAATATTTGGAGTACAAAGACAATATTGTGATATATTTACAAAGTTTTTCCAGCAGTATATACAACTCAAAATGAGTTTTGGGGTGAATGTGACTGAAAATGATCACTAATATAACGTCACAAATGGTAAAAATGTTAACAGTTTACCATTGTATTGGGAAATTTAATTGAATAAATGACATTTTTTGTAAGGAAACCTCGCTTTTTCGTTGCTTAATCATAACAAATACTCTTACCAGCTTGTTAAAACAGTGCTATGTACAGCTTTTAATAATGAAATACTATTATTATGCAGTATTGAGTTAACTTGAAATCAGGTCTCTCTTGTAAATGAGTCCTCGAGGCTCAATGGGATTTACCTGTATGAATAAAGGTTGAATGAAAAAGTCATTTGTGCCAGCCCTCCACAATATTTGTTGTTTCTCATGTGGCCCCATGGAAAAAATAATTGCCCACCCCTGAATTAAACAATAAATCTAATCTTCTGCAGAACCAGGTGCTTTATCATTAAATTGCATATATGCCCCTTCTGTCAGTCCTTGTGTTTAAAGTTCCGTTGTGACTTTGATTTGAATTCTTAGGCCCAGATGTTGTATTGTGCATGTGTAAAAGTCAGGGTGCAGCTCACCCAGTCTGCCTGTTTTGATGCGTCCTCCGCTTCTTGCAGTCGCTTCAAGTATCCTCACATTCTGAAAACCGTGTTTTACGAGTCTGTGCGCCGCAGCTATCCCTGATATTCCGCATCCTACAATCACTATCTTCACGTTTCCAGCCATATATAACGCGTAAAAACGGTATTTAATATATTCGCAACGGTTTTTGCTGTCTGCAGCTTCGTTGGTATATGACAGCTGAACTGAGCTTTCTTCCACTTCCGTGTTAGAGAAGGAACGAAGCGGTCATTTCCGGTCAAGAGTTTCAAAGTAAAAGTTGTTTTCTCACATTGAGAGATGCCACAAGTTTTCATTCTGTTAAATAAACTAAAGAAACATGAAGAAAAAAAAACCTACATATCGTGGCAAGGATTAAAGAAATATTGTTTGACTAAAACAAACGTGTTTAATAATTTCTGTTTTCACAATTATTACATTATTATAATTAATTACTCTAACTGTAATTATGTCACTCTTGCTTTAGACTCTAATTTACATGCTGTATAAATGTATACAGTCTTTATGCTCTAAATTTAGGAAATAGACTGTTCTAACAAAATTAATTTCATTAGTCCTAAAGCATGAAAAATAATATTCACTCCAATTCTTACAGGTCTACCCACCTAACAGTGGTCATTCACAGTGGGGGTTTAATTAAAACATGTTTGCAATTTATATGTCCATGTACTCTTCTGAGAATTGCATTGCTCTTTGTGTATTTTCAGGCCTATAGAGGATTGATAGAGTATCCAAACCACAGGCATCACATGGGATGGGAAGCAGAAATAAGGCTGCAAAGAGTCATAGAGATGGGGTGGATCACAGGGACAAGACTTCCTTCCATGGACTCGATGTATGATGTTGAAAAAGAGCAGCAGGAATTGTCAAGGACTCACTCCATACAGCTCAGTCTCTCATCAGACACAAAAAATGTCCATATAACCCGAGACAGAGTGGATAACATCATCATCACCCATAGTAAAACTTGCTTTTTTATAGTTTTTTTCCTGCCACAGTCAGACTGATGGCAAAACAAAACTACTGATCAGGTGCAATAATAACCCTACACTACCGAACTTCACTTGTCGTGACATGGTTTACTTTCTGTACAGTGTAAATGGAAACCAATTTTTTATTTTTATTTTATTTAGTGTTGTTTTAGTGTTTTGACTACGACTGACAGAGCAATGCACAATAATCCCAATGTGCTGGTCTGTGCACAAATGGCAAATAAAGAACTTTGTAACTTTTGTAGTTTAATTTATGCAAAGTGTGCACGCATGCACACACCCACACACACAGTGGACACTGCAAAGATAACCTTGAACAAGCCACACACAATAGAATAGCAATAGACAGCCTTGTAATGCTTCTCTTGCAGCTCTTGTAGAACACAAGTATACATGTGAAAAAAGTTATTAACAGGCATTTGTTAAAAAAAAA